ACAGCTGCGATGGGCTCCAGCCACACAGCCACCCCAAAGCAGGAGGGCAAAGCGCTGAGCACCCAGATGTGCCCAAAAGACACRACACTCCCCACAGCAACACCTGGGAGATGAGACCCCTCATCTCTGGGATCACAGGGGAGGGAGAAAACATCCAGGCTCTCACCACATCATCACATGGCTGTGATTTTGCTACTAGACCCACGCTGATGCACATGGGGCTGCGTGAACACAAGGCCTCTCCTTGCCCTTCAATCCAGAAGCCCCTTTCTCTGTCACAGGGTCACTCCAGTGCCCTGCTCCTCTCCAGGCTCCTTTTTCCAGCTGTTATCTTCTCCTCCCGCGCTCCTCCACGGAGCAGCAGCTCAAGGTTACAGACCTGCTCAGCATCGCTGCTCGCCAGCACGACGGGGGCAGGAAGCAGCCGCCACCAAAGCAGCTGGAACAGCTCAGGGAGGCTCCTGTCCAAGGCCACCTGCTCCCCAAGGAAGTTGGCTCAAAGCCTGGCACACAGGCGAGGACACAGCCCCTTGTGCGGGTGGCCACAGGATGCACCAGACTGCRGCCAGCGCTTCTCCAGACGTCTCTTCCACCACTGCTCCTGCCCAAGGTTTCCCAAGTGCAGGAAACATCAAAATCCACTTAGCCTCAAAGATGGATTTTTTTTTTAATGCAAGTAACAGGAAACGATAAAGCAACACGTACACAATAAAAATAATCCAGTAGCAGCTCACAGACCTGAGCATCCGCGGCCAAGCGCATGTTACTCAGCTTCATACATCCCCTGTCGACGCAGCCCTTTTCAGGCCTCTCTGGAACACGAGCATTACACCAATTTCAAAATCTACTTACAGGGTATTTTGGCACAAATACGTCCTTCATGGATAGTGAAGGAAATGTCTTTTATTTCCCCCCTTCTTCTTTAAAAATCCTTAAGCCAATGATGAAACTTGGCTGCTCGTACTAATATCACCCACCTGCTTTTCAGATGGGGAATCAATGCAGCGCACACAAGACCCGGCAGCGGGGCCGCCCACGGGCTCAGCCACATGCCAGTCTCGTGGCCTCATACAGGCGGCCTCCTGCTTCCCGACACGGTCGGGATGGGCCCAGCAGATGCCACAAGGTCCCCATGAGACGGGAAGTCCCCTCCAGCTCCGGATTGGGGCTCAACTCCCCTCCGGGGAGACTGGAGAACACAGTGCCCGATCAGAGCGGGTCCTCGGCTGCAGTTTTTTCCYGTTTATCCAGGAAAACAGTCTGTTTTGACCCTCCACCCACACATTCTCAATCTCTTACACCAGTTAAGCAGGGAACTAATGACCCATGTTTCCTTCTGTCATTTTAAGGGCACTTTCATTTCCACTAAGCATGCAAGAAAAGCGAAGGCAGCTCCATGGTGAAATTTTTAATCTTTTACAATAGCCCGAGCTCATCAATCCTGGCAGAGGGTCTGGAGCTGTTCAGCTCATAGACAGGGGCCCTGTCTGCCCTTCTTATCCCCCCAGCTGTGTCCCCGGGCACTGCCTTCCTGTACCGTGTAAGGGGGCCACTGACAGCTATTCAGACCCAGCGGGTTTCCAGCGACCCCATCCCATCCTTACACATCTTTGGGCCGTTTGAGGGTCTGAACATSCACTCACATGGCACAGGGCTCCCTGGAGCTACAGGACATTTGGGTCATAAGACTGTTGTGCTGGAGAAGCAGCCAGGCTATGCTAAGGAGTGCTCTGAATGCCCCTGCCAGGTTGGGGCAGCTGCCTGGAAGCCAGTGCTCCATGCCCAGCTGTGCTGCACAGGCACAACTGGAGCCTGAACCACCCGCACCATGAGCGGACACCGTGACAGCAAACAGGCAGGTCAGCAGGGACAAGTCTCCCCCAGCAGAGCACGGTGCTCCCTTCAGCAGGCGGGTGCAGGGACATCTTCACAGCCACCATCAAAATCACCTTCCTGAGGACCCACAGCCAGGAGATCTAGTTAATCCCCCTTTTAACACACTGGCATCTTTGAAATCTGCAAAATTCATCTTTAAAGACATCTTTATGTCCTATAAAACTATCAGGTGAAACGTAATCTTTAAAATTGGTACATCAAAGCAGTTACAACAGTGAAAGAGTGAAGCCAGCTCCCTGCAGCCAGCCAGGCCCACCCCCGACAGAGCTGAATTAGAAGCTTCCAGCCTAATGAGTTCTGCATTTCCCTCTAATTAATTTGCTGTTCTGACTTGCCAAGGAGTAAGGCAGCACAGACAACACATGAGCTGCCAAAGGCTGGCCTCGCAGCTCTCACCTGGTCAAGTCTCCCAGCAAACTTTTAATAGGAAATTCGATCCTGGGATCATTTGGAAGCACAGCCCATCTCCCACCTGGCACTCACACATCCCACAGCCCCGGCCAACACCCCCTTCCACAGCTGGCCCAAACTACAGCCCCAGGCCAGGCACTGCAGGCCAGGCCAGGCCCTCCGGGTGCCCCTTAGCCTTTATAACACACGCCAAGTGCCTCTGCAAGGGACACATCATGTAGCACAGAGAGGAGGCAGCCCCACAGAACACGAGTAGCAGCCTCAACTTACACCAGAGACAGGCCGTGAAATGAGATTAATTGTCCGGAATTCAGCTGCGAGACAGAGGTGGCATCCCTGTGCTTTTAGCACGGGGTTTTACCAGCCCGGATCCTTGCAGGCTGCACAGGAGCGCAGACACGGCAGCACAGGCACCGACTGGCTGCTCCAGGGTGTCAAAGCTGACGGGCACCAGACCAAAACCGGTGCCAGAACCAAAGCTGATGGGCACCTGGCTCGCCAGGCCGCGGGAGGCACCGCGGAGCTGCAGCCAGGCCCGGGACGGGGGGTGTGCGCCCCACGGCGGGGCCGGCAGCCGGCAGGGCTCCAGCCCCGGCTGCAGCCGCTGCTCGGGGGCCCGCGGGAGGCCGCCCCGCACCCGGCGCCCGCGTCACGCGGTGCTGGGCACGGAGCAGCGCCCGCGGGTGCTCGTGGCGGGCGGGCCCGCGGCGCCGGGCGCGCACAGCGGCCGCCGCTCCCGCGCTACCGGCCCCCACCTGCCGGGCGCCGCCCGCCCCGGGGCCGGTGCCGTTGAGCAGCGGGGTGGCCTCTCCCGCGCGCCCTTCCTCCTCCTCGTCGTCGTCGTCCTCGTCGTCGAGGTCGCGGCCGGACCACGACACCTTCTTGGCGACGTTGGCCATGCGGGGCGGCGGCACCGGCACCACGCGCTGCTCCGCCGGCCCGGCCTGCCTGCTCACCGGGCGGTCATGTGACCCGCGCGGCCCGCCGCCACGTGAGCGCGCTATGGCGACCGCAGCGGGCCACGCCGCGCACGGCATCACGGGAGTTGTAGTCCCGCGCGCACGGGGGCTGCGGCTGGGGGCGGGGCGGGGCGCGGCCCCCGCTCGTGCCGGTGGCACCGGGGGCACCTTGGGCTCCAGAGGCAACCGCAGCCCTGGCGGGAGCAGCAGCCACGCGCTCCGGGCAGAGACCGGGCACRGTTGTGACACTAGTGACAGGCGCCAAGGCAGCAGAGGGGCAGGAAGGTGCCCAAGGTGCAGGGAGCCCCCGGCAGACCCCCATGCCCCGTCCCTCGCACCGCCGGGGCTGCCACGAGGGCACCGGGCCCTGCTGAGCCGCCCGGAGGCGGCCCTGGGCACCAGGTCCAGCCGGGCCCCACGCCAGGYGCCTCCTGCGCCCTCGGAGCAGACACTCTGGCTCCTGCCTGTGTCCATCCATGCGGAGCAGCGGCCCCCATGGCTCTGCCTCATTCCCAGTCACGGGCTTTTCCATGCCGCTGGCTCTGACTCAGCGGGATGCAGGGACACGCGGGAAGCACCTGCCCATGACTGGGCCTGGGACACATCCCGCGTGGCGCTGAGCTCCCGGCAGCACCCAGTGCCCCCAGCCCGACGGAGGAGCTCRAGGTGCCTGGCCAGCACCAGGATGTTCCCAGTTCAGCCCTGGGAACAGCACCGGGGCTTGGAAGGAAGCAGCTGATGGCAGCTCACGCACAGAAACATTTTGGTGTGAAAACAGCCCAAAGCTCTTCCCATGTCGCAAGCAGCTCTGGCTGCGGGGAGACACACTGGCCGCTGTCACACATCCATTTTTCCTGGGAATTTTTACCTGACAGAGACAACAGCACCACAAAGGGAGAGATAGGAGAGAGAAAAAAAAAAAAAAAAAGAGAGAGAAAGAGAGAGAGAGAGAGAGGTTTCCTCTCTGACCAGAGTTTCTTTAATAGTGATTATAAGTAATAGTAATAGTTTGCCCTCTCTCTGGGGGGGACACCAGGAGACTGGGCTCCCTGCCGCACCAGGCTGCCCAGCGCCGTCACTCGCAGCCACCGTCCTGCCGTGGCCCAGGGGCCCGGGGAAAGGCAGCTCTGCGGAGGGCTCAGGCGGCTCCTGGACACACAGCTCCATAGCGGCACAACGGGACATGCAGGGCTCTGCTCTGAGCTTCCCTCCAACAGCTCTGGGTGGCCTGGCCCCACGAGAAGGTCCGAGCTGATCTGATGGTGGCTCTGGGCTCTGGCAGCTGCACAGGGCTCGTGCTGGCCCATACGGAGACAGTGGGTCACAGTCTTTGAGGGGACAGAGCCATAAGTGGGATCAGAGGAGCTGCCGGGTAAGCAGCAGCTGAGGCTGCTTATGGACAGTGCAGGTGCTCGCAGACTAGAGCTGCACTCTGGCTGCCAAAATCCCCTTTATTTTTGCTCACCTCCTGTACCCACGCCATGAAACACAGTGCCAAGCACTGCTGACTTGCTGGCATGCTCCCCCCGGAGCTGGCAGCAGCCTTGGCTGCAGGAGCATGGAGGGAAGGAGCACCAGGAGGCACCGCATTAACACCACCCCAGCCAGCAGAGATGCAGAGAGTTTATAAGGATAAAAAGTTTATAAGGATGCCCCCTCCACCGTCTATCCCTTGGCTGCCGGGGAGGAAGTGGCTCCCGTGTGCCCGGCACCACGAGCCGACACAAGCGTTCCTCAGGAGCAGCGCTCGAGACAGGCGCACTCGGCCCTGCGCACCCAGCCCCGCGGGGAGGCATCGGCCAGCGTGAGCAGCGCGCCGGGCGGCAGCGCCTGCCCGGTGGCCAAGGCGGCCACCTCCCCGGGCAGCAGAGCCCGGCTCCAGAGAGCCAGGCCGGCCAGCCGGCCCACGAAGGCTTCCGAAGGGTCAAAGTCCCCGCCAGGCTCATCCTGCTCCTGGCCCAGCAGCAGGGAGCCGCCGGCGGGAATTTCGTAGCCCTGCTGGAAGCCGGAGCCGGCGGCCAGCAGCCTCCTGTCCACGTAGAAGCGGAACTTGCCCTGCTCGGACGACCAGGTGAGGCAGAGATGGTGCCACTTGCCGTCCAGCAGCCGTGTCACCGGCAGCTCCCGAAACTCCGGGTCGCCAATGACGAAGTGCACGGAGCCGGGGACGCCCCTGTCCCAGCCGTGCAGCACCAGCTTGTTGTCGTTGTCCTGGGTGGCGTAGGAGAGCAGGGTGCCGAGGTAGGGGGCCGGGGTGCTGACCCAGGCRCACAGCGACAGCGCCCGCAGCCCCGCGCGCAGCCCTGCGCCAAACACGGCCACGTTCTCCACGGAGCGGTTGGGGAAGAGCAGCACGGAGCCCACGCCGCAAACTGGGGAGGAAGAGAAGCGGCGGGAGGAAGGCACGGGGTGGGTTCACCTCCCGGCCTCCCCGCAGCCTTGTCCGTGCCGCGGGACCCTGAGCGCTGCAAGGATGGGCTGCCCTCGCTGCCGGCTGTGCCGGAGGACGCTGCGTGTTGGTGTCACGTAGCGCAGAGCCCCRGCGAGGCCGCGAGGCCCCACGCGCTTGGTGCTCCGGCACGGGCTGCACAAGGTCTGCAACTTGGCACCGTAGGATTTGCAAGCAATTCCCCCCTTTCCTAACAGACCTAAAAACCCAGTTCCTTCCAGCCCCTCTGCTGAGCACAAGGAAAGCCCCAAACGTACTTGTTCCTGGCAGCTSCTCCTGGCGGATCCCGGCCTCGCTGGGGAGCATCTGTCCGGAGGACGGTGGCCCCGGTGCCACATCTCGAAGGTGGACAGCAGCCTCCTGGAGCTCTGCAGCATCCCCGGCCTTCTCCCGCAGCCTCCCCCGCCGCCTGCGCCAGGCCTGCAGCTTCTTGGCCTTGGGTGGCCTGCCTGCTGCCCGCCGCTCCGCGGGCGGATCGGGGAGCTCCCGCGGGGCAGCCTGCCGCTGGGGCGCCCGTGCCAGGGCACCGGGGCGGGCGCCCTCCTGCAGGCGCTGCCGYGAGCCCGTGTCCSAGCCCGTGTCCGAGCCCGCCGGCYGCCGCGTGACATTGCCGAGCCCCTYGCACAGCTCCTGCCGCTCGCCCCGCGCGGCCGCTTGCCCTTCCAGCCGCCACACCTTCCTGCGGAGCCGTGCGGCGGCGGCGGCCACACGGGCCAGCTCGGCACGCAGGGTGGCCCGGGTGTCACGCAGGGCCGCGGCCGCCACCTCGTCCTGCGCCGCCAGYGCCCGGAACCGCGCGTCGATGTTGTACGAGATGTTGTAGTTGCTGGCGATGGCCTGGAGCTGGGTCAGCGTCACCTCCCGAAAGCGGCGAAACTGCCAGGAACGGGTGCCGGGTGAGAGGGCCCCGCAGCCCGAAAGGCACCGGCTCCTGGCGCCCTGGGCGCCCCGCGCGGCCGCGAGCCCCCACCTGCTCCTCGAGTCTCCGGAGGCGCTCGAGGAGCGGCCCCGTCCGCGGYGCCTGCGCCAGGCTGCCCTGCAGGCAGACGGCGGCGAGGAGTAGGTGCGCGGGCAGCATCTCCGCGGGGCTCAGCCCAGAACCAGGCACACGCAGCCCCAACGCTGCCCTGCCGCCGTCTGGGCCGGGCTCTCAGCCACCGGGGCTCCCAGGCCTCCTCCCATCCTGGATCCGGCCTCTGCCGAGATGAGCTTTGCAGACGCCTCTCGCCTGCGCCAGCAGCCAAGTGCAGCCGCCGGTCACACCGGTCACRCTGGCACAAGCCGCCCCCGTGCCGGGGAGCACTGATCCCGCACGTCCCCAAGGCTCCTGCTCCCCATGTGTGCCGGGCGGCTGCTGCAGCCCCGCAGGGCAGGACCCCGGCAGTGCAGGGTGCCTGATGCAGCCTCAGTGCGGGACACAGCGGGGCACAGCGGTGCACTGGCAGGGCAAGGCCCTGCACGGCCGTGCAGGGGGGCAGCGGGGCTGCACAGGCCGGGCACGGTCAGGGCTTGGCAC